GGGCATTAGGGAAATTTGGCGTGATGATCAATGTGTCGAGATCATAAGATGCATAGTCATGGTTTTAGTCACGAGTGCTGACAACACCTAGATGATTTCGAAACCTCATTCCTCTCCTGTATGAATGAGGCTACCCTTTGGGAAAGCAAGGTTATATGAACTTAAATGGAGACGTTATGTTTGCTCATAGTATTGTGGGAAAATTCAACTCCTTATCACGCTAAACGAAATAGGATGATTACATATTATAGTGTTTTTGTCTGTTTATTTATTCCAAGAGCCTCATTATTGTATGGATAAACCAATTTCGAATTTTTTTGTTGTTACATGCATAGGCAAATATTGCTGCTGTGGCAATACATAAGCATGAGTCAAAATGGTTTACCTTGATAAAAGTCAGGATCTTGAATGCTGATAAAATGATGACTAACGCCAAATTGAGTAGGTTGTCGTATTTAGTTGCAACTCACATATACCTGTTGGCACGAAATTACCCACAAAACAAGGGTAGTTAAAAGAGCTTTGCTTTTTTATGCCTGCTATGAGCCTTATCGGAGCTAGAGTCGTGTGGTTCAGAAGGTAACCAGTCCGTCTCTGCTTCGAGTCCCGCTAGGAAGGCAGTTATATCAGCAAGGAGAGGACGAAACCTCAATCCAGCCTGGTTGGAAATGTTTTCGAGATTTCTGTTGAATCGAAATTCCATATATAAATCGGGACTTTTCTCCAATTCATTTCGCTAGCCTCATTTGCGCTTCATGATCAAAAATCAACCTGAGCTGGCATAGACTGAATGTGACTGGCTCGACCCGAATCACTTCAACTATAAGTTTGTTCTGTAAGGTTGAAATATGCCTAAGCTTCCGTAGTAGCATATAATCTTGGTCTACTCTTCATAGTCACAGGGCTGACTTTGGGGTGGTTACTTTGGAAACATGAGTAATATAAGAAAGTATAGTAAAGCCTCGTCGAAAGGGAGGGGAGAGTGAAAGTGAAGCAGACAAAATACAGTAAAAGGGACAAACTTTGCGAAACAAAGAGGAGGTGGACGAAGCTCTGAGGTATAGTGCCATCTTGAGTCCGTGAAGCCGACAGACGCCAAGTAGCCAGAATAATAGTAGTAACTTTTGATGCCGGACAATCACCTAGCCGGTACTCAAAGTTGCCAGGCCTAATGGTGCTAAAGTATCCCAAACAAGTGAGTCTAATATGTCCCTCTGCCTCGGCCAGGCTTGTTACTGCCTGGCTTTGAGAGTGAAGGGCTGAAAGCCAATGCCCCCGAAGCCGGACTGCTTGCGTGTGAGCAGACCGGCGAGTAGGGGACTGCTTTTAGACCTTGTGCCCAGGCATACCTGCGTGTTGCTGTCTGGAGCAAGGGCAAAATTGTAGACTAATGACAAAGGGCTAGGCATCTGAGCGGCGAGAACCGGTCTGGAGGGCGATTAAAATACGATGAAGATAAAACATAACAAGTCCATATTCAGGCCAGCTTGCCCGTTGCACCCCCGTTTAATTGTACAGTTTAGAGAGCCTGTGTTGCTGCAGTGGGAGAGGCAGTGACGACGGCTAGCGATGAAGGGTTAATGAGGCAGACATATGCAATGCAGCATCATAATATG